TCCTCCCTCCCTCTCTCCCCCTCTCTTCCCTCTCTCCCTCCCTTCCTCCCTCTCTCTCTCTCACTTTCTTTCTTTCTGAGTCAGAGTCTCATTCTGTTGCCCAGACGATAGTATGGTGGCATGATCATGGCTTACCACAACCTCGACCTCCTGGGCTCAGGTAATCCTCCTGCCTCAGTACCCTGAGTAGCTGGGACTTTAGGTATGCACCAACATACCTGGCTAATTTTTTAATTTCTTTGTAGAGATGAGGTCTCGCTATGTTGCCCAGGCTGGTCTTGAACTCCTGGGCTCAAGCAATTCTCCCACCTCGGCCTCCCAAAGTGCTGGGATTACAGGTATGAGCCACTGTTCCCAGAATACTCAGACTATTTCAAGAGCAGTTTTAGAGTTTTGAAAAGGTAATCTAAGGGCTGCAAAAAACTATGAAATAATTTAATTTTCCTTTTTTTGGAATAGTAAGGCACTGCAGGCAAATAAAATTAGCAGCGTACTAGATGGTTTGTACCATTTTGTTATAATTCTCTCTTCTGGAACCTAGTTTCAATGTCCACATGAATTACTTCCTATTGGCTCCGATTGTATTTTACAAATGCAAGCTGAAGATTACCTTCCCAAAAAAAAGTGCCAGATTGAAAGCCCCTCTCACACTCCCAAGAGAATGCCATAGGCTGGTACTAAAAGACTATCTTTGTGTAGAACAAATGGACCGAAGAAAATCTGCTTTCCTCTCCCCCTGCCCTTTTCTTCTTTACATAACTAGAGCCAAATGAGATATTTTTCATTTTAGAAATTTGATTAAGCAGACTGAGTAAAAGCTCATTCTTCTGATCTCTACCGTTTTCCAGTTTGAGGACTGAATTAAGTCACACTCAAGTTGGAAGGATAGTGAAACCAGGGCCCGTCAGACAGTGGTGACATCTGGAAGTTTAAATTATGAAAGGCGAGTACTGGGCCTGCAGCTCTGGCCCAGGGGCTGCCCTTTTCCCTGGAGGCATCAGAATGTAGACTGCTGTTTTAGGCTCAAGTGAGAGGGTCCCAGATCCCGCAGAGACCTCTGTGCCACTCTATATACACAAGGCTTGTGACTTGCGGGGTAAGGAAGGTGGCAGGGCAAAGAGTAGGTTTAAATAATGAGAAAAGAAGCTGAGAAGAACAATTATGAATGAACTGTCCTTTTCTTCAGCTCTAGGCACTGACTCCGTTGGCACATTTAAAAATATATTAGAAACACTACATTAGTAAGCTCCATATAGTATCGGATCTAGTTTTAGTTTCTGTACTCTAAACCTTCTGTGAAACCTTTCTACAATATTTTCATTACCTCTTTTTTTTTTTTTTTTGGGTTGGAGTTTCACTCTGTCACTCAGACTGGAGTGCACACGCTGGCTGGGTTCCAGTGATCCTTCTGCCTCAGCCTTCCAAGTAGCTGGAACTACAGGCGCGCGCTACCACACCCGGCTAATTTTTGATTTATTGTAGAGATGAGGTCTCGCCAAGTTGCCCAGGCGGGTCTCGAACCTGCAGGCTCAGGCAATCCACTCACCTTGGCCTCCCAAAGTGCTGGGATTACAGGCTGAGCCACCGAGCCCAGCCTTTACCTTGTTTTAAAGTTCAATCATGCGTTGTCCAACAATAGGAAAATATTCTGAGAATGCGTCATCGGGTGATTTCATTATTGTATGAACATTGTAAGAGTACACTTACAAAAACCTAGATATTTGAGTCTACCATACACCTAAACTGTATAGTAGCCTATTGCTCCTAGGGTACAAACTTGTACAGCATGTTACTATACGGATACTGCAGGCAACTGTAACACAATGGAAAGTATTTGCATATATCAACGTATCTCAACATAGAAAAAGTGCAGTAAAAATGCTATATAAAAGATTTAAAAGATAGCTGGGCACAGTGGCTCATGCCTGTAATCCCAATACTTTGGGAAGCAGAGGCAATAGGATTGCCTGAGTCCAGGGATTCAAGATCAGTCTGGGCAACTCAGTGAGACCTCGTCTCTACAATAAATTTTTTAAAAATTAGCTGGGCAGGGTGGCGTGTGCCCATAGTTCTAGCTACATAGAAGGCTGAGGTTTGGCTGGGCTCAGTGGCTCAGCCTGTAATCTCAGCACTTTGGGAGGCCTACGAAAGTGGATTGCCTAAGCCCACTGGTTCGAGACCAGCCTGGGCAAGTTGGCAAGACCTCATCTCTACAATAAATTAAAAAAAAATTAGCTGGGTGCAGTAGTGCGCACCCGTAGGTCCAGCTACTTGGAATGCTGAGGCAGAAGGATCGCCAGAGCCCAGCAGGTTGACTTTGGGGTGGCCATGAGAGTGCTACTGCACTCCAGCCTGGGCGACAGAGTGAGACTACAACTCAAAAAAAAAAAAAAATTATTTTTTTACTTTAAAACTTTTTTGTTAAAAACTAAAACACAGACACACTAGCCTGGGCCTATACAGGGTCAGGATCATCAGTATCACTGTCTTCTACCTCCATATCTTGTCCCACTAAAAGGTCTTCTGGGCAATAGCATATAAGGAGCTGTCATCTCCTATGATAATAATGCCTTCTTCTGGAATACTTCCTGAAGGACCTGCCTGAGGCTGTTTTACAGTTAACTCCTGTTTTTTTTAAATAAGTAGAAGTACACTCTAAAAGAACAATAAGGCCAGGCTCAGTGGCTCAGCCTGTAATCCCAGCACTTTGGGAGGCCGAGGCAAGGGGATTGCCTGAGCCCGCTGGTTTGAGACCAGCCCAGACAACTTGGAGAAACCTCATCTCTACAATAAAATAAAATGAAAAATTAGCCAGGGGTGGTAGCATGTGCCTGTAGTTCCGGCTACTTGGAAGGCTGAGGCAGCGGAAGGACTGCTGGAGTCCAGCAGGTCGATGCTGGGGTGGCCATGAGTGTGCCACTGCACTCCAGCCTGGGCGACAGAGTGATACTCT